TAAGTCGTCACCTCGTGTTCCTGTTTCCCTGCATGGTCCTGCCCCTCCCATCCCTCCCTCGGATCTTCCACGTTCCACCTTACTCTTGGACTCTTGTGTTGTCTTGTTTTCTGTCATGGAGCGTCTGGTAGCCGCTCCGTAGAGGGGAGGTTCTGTCACAGTGTCTGGTTGTGTTTCCCTGGGTTATCACTAGAGGTCCTCGTTCTCACGGTGTCATTCACATTAGACTACAATTCCCAGCATTCTGTTCTGCCACTTATCTGATTATTGCACTCAGCTGTTTCCCGTCACCTTGTTAGTTCTGTGTGTATATATGCCCTGTCTGTGTTAGTGTTTGTTACGGAGTCCTTGTTTTATGTCCCCACACTTCCGTTCATGTATCTGCCTGTTTCTTGTTTGTTTCTGGATTGCCTTATTGGATTTTTGACCCTTGCCTGGACTGTTGTGAGTACGGATTACCCTATATTAAATACTGCTCTTGGATCTCACGTCTCTAGTGTGTGTGTTGTGACAGTGACGATTCTGTCTCTCTGACCAATCAGTGATCTGTTGTGTTTTCACGTCACATTTTAGTATCGGTACGGTACGCTTGGAACCTCAACAGAGCAGGTACCATTTAAAGCGAGCCGAAGCGAGCCGTACCGTACCGGACCATGCAGTGGAAATGCGCCATAAGTGAGCCGTACCGAACCGAGCCATACTGTACCATGCAGTGGAAAAGCGCCAAAGCGTGCCGTACCGAACCGAACCGTACCGTTCCATGCAGTGGAAAAGCGCCATATGAAAGAGTGAGACAGCTCTCAGATTTAATCAAAAATATCTTAATTTGTGATCCGAAAGTCTTATGGGGTTGGAACAACATGAGGGTGAGTAATTACAGAATTATTTTACAATAAATGATTACTGCATGACAGAATTTTCATTTTTGGGTGAACTAACCCTTTAATATTTTTTATTTCAAATGACTAAAACTTCAGACAACAGGTTTATAAACGATTCACATGATGAATTTAGGAAGATGGTTGAAATGTGTTCTCAAATTACAAGTGACATTTAAACAGGCATCACTGAAACATGCAGTGTGTCAATCACAACCATTTCCAATATTAATAAAAACAGTCACTTTTAAAAGTACATATAAAATAGGTTACTTATTTTACCCACATCAATTCAAATTGTTAGTTAATTTTAAGAATTCCCAAAGATTGCAGCGAAAACTCACCTGTATCTGGTGCTCTGCAACTGAGATAGTGACTGAGGTAAAAAATCCGGTTGGTGAACAAGCTTTGAGTCAACTTGACAGAACCTGTGAGTCAACACGAGGAAATACAATGAGCGAATCTTACTGCGGTCAAGCCAGCCGCGGTTTGAAAATACACGGTCAAGCCAGCCGCCAAAAAAAAAAATGTGTGCGCCTATTACTATGAATACGGTAATTTCAGTAACAGCAGAGAAAGAACACGCTTTCAGAGCGCTTGAGTTGCTCAGATCGATCCTTCCGTCCGTCCGTCTGTCTATCTTTTTTCTTTCATTCTATGTCTTTTTATCTATCTATCTATCTATCTATCTATCTATCTATCTATCTATCTATCTATCTATCTATCTATCTATCTATCTATCTATCTATCTATCTATCTATCTATCTATCTATCTATCTATCTATCTATCTATCTATCTATCTATCTATCTATCTATCTATCTATCTATCTATCTGTCTATCTAGGCCTCATTTGTAATAAGAAAAAACTAATGGTCAGTTCTAATAGGGGACGTCCCATACAGTATACACACCTCATATCAAACCATTTTACTGTAGCATTTTGGAGAAATGTCACATTATTCGACTTCAGAGGCCCATAAAGGCCTCATTTCTAAGAAGTAGAAAAAACGAATGGCCAGTTCTTATACGGGACGTCCCATACAGTATACAGACCTCATATCAAACAATTTTACTGTAGCATTTTGGAGAAATGTCACAATTATTCCACTTCAGAGGCCCATAAATACGTCATTTCTAATAAGTAGAAACAACTACAGGTCAGTTCTTATAGGAGGCGTCCCATACAGTATACACACCTCATATCAAACCATTTTACTATAGCATTTTGGAGAAATGTCACATTATTCGACTTCAGAGGCCCATAAAGGCCTCATTTCTAATAAGTAGAAAAAACGAATGGTCAGTTCTTATAGGGGACGTCCCATACAGTATACACACCTCATATCAGGGCCGGATTGGGACTCATTTTCAGCCCTGGAATTTGCCTTAGACCGGCCCACTTTAGTTCCCGTCTGACTATATTAAAATAATGTAATTGAAACCTCAGTATATAAGTCTGCAATAGTGCAGTGTTCTGTACAGCCTTGTTATTCATTGTATTTAAAAAATATATATAAATTTATATTCAGTGCAATAGCTGTATACAGGGTTTTAAAAATACAGAGGTCCGAAAAGTAATCTTGCTGGGGGTTCGGGGGCATATGCCCACCCAGACAAGTGAAGTAGGCCTAATACAAACAGTGAAATGTCCCAGTGCTGATATGGGGAAATATAAAACACATTCGAGGTATACAAATATATTTATACAACAATGCCAATATATAATATAATAATATAATATATGTGCTTGTGTTGTTAAATTGAGTTTATTTTTACACTGATGATCATCATTGGCAAAGAACATATGTATGTCTGTGTTAAATAGGAATCCATTGTAATAAAGTTATTCTCATTCTGGGCACAGTATGCATGGGCTATTCCTCTACCTGCTCTCATTTCTCATCTCCATCTTCTCTCATTCTTCTTCTCTCAGTCTCTTTATCTGTAGGACACCTAAATATCCCCTTCCGGAAGCTGAGTTTTGATTGATACAGTCTTCACAAACTGATTATTTCTTTCAGTCGTTTAAAACTTCTTTCGTAATTAAAACAGCTGTTTAGTTTAGCCACTTGCATCTTATCTTGTGAAGCGTCGCGTTTGGATTCGCTCCAAAGAGGATTTATGTTCGCGGCTCGCGAACATAAATCCAGCTTGCTTTGATCGGTCATCTCAAACATTTTGCCATTGCCGACGAGCGGTGTTAGAATACGCAAGCAGCTCAGATTATGAGGTCGGTTATCGTCGCGATATGCAAATCATTGCAGCACCAAATTAGAGTTAATATTAGTCAATTATTTCACAACGTTCATTAAACACTCAGAAAAATATACACTCAGAAAGCTGTGCCTGGAGCCTAATAAAGCATTCAACCCAGTGCCATGACAACACCGGCCCTCCTGGCCAATAAAACAGACCGGCCCACCGGGAATTCTCCCGGTGCTCCCGATTAGCCAATCCGGGCCTGCCTCATATCAAACCATTTTACTGTAGCATTTTGGAGAAATGTCACATTATTCGACTTCAGAGGCCCATAAAGGCCTCATTTCTAAGAAGTAGAAAAAACGAATGGCCAGTTCTTATACGGGACGTCACATACAGTATGCCCACCTCATATCAAACAATTTTACTGTAGCATTTTGGAGAAATGTCACATTATTCCACTTCAGGGGCCCATAAATACATCATTTCTAATAAGTAGAAAAAACTAATGGTCAGTTCTTATAGGGGACGTCCCATACAGTATACACCCCTCATATCAAACCATTTTACTGTAGCATTTTGGAGAAATGTCATATTATTCGACTTCAGGGGCCCATAAATACGACATTTCTAATAAATAGAAAAAACTAATTGTCAGTTCTTGTAGGGGACGTCCCATACAGTATGCCAACCTTATATCAAATCATTTTACTGTAGCATTTTGGAGAAATGTCACATTATTCGACTTCAGAGGCCCATAAAGGCCTCATTTCTAATAAGTAGAAAAAACGAATGGCCAGTTCTTATACGGGACGTCCCATACAGTATACATACCTCATATCAAACAATTTTACTGTAGCATTTTGGAGAAATGTCACAATTATTCCACTTCAGAGGCCCATAAATACGTCATTTCTAATAAGTAGAAACAACTACAGGTCAGTTCTTATAGGAGGCGTCCCATACAGTATACACACCTCATATCAAACCATTTTACTGTAGCATTTTGGAGAAATGTCACATTATTCGACTTCAGAGGCCCATAAATACGTCATTTCTAATAAGTAGAAAAAACTAATGGTCAGTTCTTGTAGGGGACGTCCCATACAGTATACACACCTCATATAAAACCATTTTACTGTAGCATTTTGTAGAAATGTCACATTATTCGACTTCAGAGGCCCATAAAGGCCTCATTTCTAAAAAGTAGAAAAAAATAATGGTCAGTTCTTGTAGGGGACGTCCCATACAGTATGCCCACCTCATATCAAACCATTTTACTGTAGCATTTTGGAGAAATGTCACATTATTCGACTTCAGAGGCCCATAAATACCTCATTTCTAATAAGAACAAAATAACAAACGTCAGTTCTTGTAGGGGACGTCCCATACAGTATACAGACCTCATATCAAACCATTTTACTGCAGCATTTTGGAGAAATGTCACATTATTCGACTTCAGAGGCCCATAAAGGCCTCATTTCTAATAAGTAGAAAATAACAAAGGTCAGTTCTTATAGGGGACTTCCCATACAGTATACACACCTCATATCAAACCATTTTACTGTAGCATTTTGGAGAAATGCCACATTATTCGACGTCAGAGGGTAATTTCTAATAAGCAGAAAAAACTAATGGTCAGTTCTTATAGGGGACGTCCCATACAGTATACACCCCTCATATCAAACTGTGGTGACCCACAAATAACACTGAGAGACATTCACCAAGGGAATATACCTTTAAGGGAAGGGGAAGTATGTTAGACTTTCCGGTTTAACGTTGTTGTGTCGATCTCACTGCTGTACACAGTTCTGATTTATTGAAGTGGAGAGTAAAGCTGACTCGACGCATCTCTGTCTCTTGTCTACTCCTTATTGCACTCCACATTGGTGACCCGACGCGAGTTGGATACGGCTGAATTATGTCACACAACGACGGTGGCGAAAATGCTGCTGCTGCGGCGCCGGATGCTGTTAGCGGCGCGGCTAATGTCGGCGCTATATACGCGGCCACCATCAAGTTACCGGACTTTTGGCAGCACAATCCGCGGCCGTGGTTTCAACACATCGAGGTACAGTTCCAGCTGAGGGGAATAACACAGGACGTTACAAAATATTTCCATGTAGTAGCGGCCTTAGATGCCTCGACAACAGCCAGGGCTATGGCGTTATTAGAGGCTCCGCCAGCTGACGGCAAATACGACGCACTCAAAACATTTCTGTTGAACCTCTTTGAACTGTCGGAGCTAGAGAAGGCAGATCGCCTGTTGTCCCTGAACGGCCTTGGCGACAGTAAGCCGTCCGAGTTAATGGAGAGGATGCTAGCGGTGCTGGGCGCGGCGGATCCCGCGTTCCTTTTCGCCCACATATTCCTGCGGCAGCTTCCAGCACCCGTGCGCACCGCACTGGCCAGCTCCGCCCTCCCCTCCTCCAGAGACTACCGAGCGCTTGCTGTGGAGGCAGACAGGATTTTTCTCGCCAACCGGCAACAGTTTGTCCACGCACTGCTTCCCCCCCTGCACACGGCTGTCCCGTTGCAACCCGCGGCGGACGAACCGGATACCGCGGCTGCGGTGACGGCCCGCCGACAGCGTGAAGACGGGTGGTGTTATTACCATTCAAGGTTTGGGGCCAAGGCCAAACAGTGTCGCCAGCCTTGCAGTTTTGGAGCCCAGGGAAAAGCCAGGGCCGGCGCTCATTAGCAGCTATGGGCGCTGGCCGGGACTGCAAGCTGTTATTCATCACGGACACATTGTCCGGCCGGCGGCTGCTGGTCGATTCGGGGGCTCAGCGTAGCATCCTGCCGGCGAAGCCGGTGGACACCATGGCTGGCGGGCATGGCCCCCCGATGGATGCCGCCAACGGCACACCCATTCGTACTTATGGCACAAGGTATGTGGAAGTGTGTTTCGGCGGGCGGCGTTTCGGCTGGGATTTCGTCATGGCCGCCGTGTCTACGTCGCTCCTAGGGGCAGATTTCCTTTGTGCTTACAGGCTGTTGGTGGACGTTACAAACCACCGCCTGATCGACGCCCTCTCTTTTGCTTCGTACCCCTGTACACTGGGGGGGACGGGGGCGCTTTGTCTGTCGAACACGTTTGCCACAGGGGACCTGTATCAACGCCTTCTCGCTGAGTTCCCTGACATCACCACACCCACGTTTTCATCGGCGGTGGCTAAGCATGCCGTGGAGCACTACATCACTACGGTGGGCCCACCAGTCTATGCACGAGCTCGGCGCCTCGACTCTGCCAAGCTCGCGATCGCCAGGGAGGAGTTTGCCACTATGGAGCACCTCGGCATCGTGCGCCGCTCCAACAGCCCGTGGGCTTCCCCCCTGCACATGGTGACAAAGGCCGATGGCAGTTGGCGTCCGTGTGGTGATTTCCGTCGCCTGAACAATGCTACAACCCCCGACCGGTACCCTGTGCCGCACATACAGGACTTCTCCGCCCACCTAGCCGGCGCCACCATATTCTCAAAGGTGGACCTGGTGCGCGGTTACCACCAGGTGCCTGTCCACCCGCAGGATGTCCCCAAGACAGCGGTCATCACACCCTTTGGCCTTTTCGAATTCCTTCGGATGCATTTTACTGTAGCATTTTGGAGAAATGTCACATTTTTCGACTTCAGAGGCCCATAAATATGTCATTTCTAATAAGTAGAAAAAACTAAAGGTCATTTCTTGTAGGGGACGTCCCATACAGTATACACACCTCATATCAAACCATTTTACTGTAGCATTTTGGAAAATGTCACATTATTCGACTTCAAAGGCTCATAAATACGTCATTTCTAATAAGTAGAAAAAACTAATGGTCAATTCTTGTAGGGGACGTCCCATACAGTATACACACCTCATATCAAACCATTTTACTGTAGCATTTTGGAGAAATGTCACATTATTCGACTTTAGAGGCTCATAAATACGTCATTTCTAATAAGTAGAAAAAAATAATGGTCACTTCTTGTAGGGGACGTCCCATACAGTATGCCCACCTCATATCAAACCATTTTACTGTAACATTTTGGAGAAATGTCACATTATTCGACTTCAGAGGCCCATAAATACGTCATTTCTAATAAGTAGAAAAAACTAATGGTCAGTTCTTATACGGGACATCCCATACAGTATGCCCACCTCATATCAAACCATTTTACTGTAGCATTTTGGAAAAATGTCACATTATTCGACTTCAGAGGTCCATAAATACAACATTTCTAATAAGTAGAAAATAACAAACGTCAGTTCTTGTAGGGGACGTCCCATACAGTATACAGACCTCATATCAAACCATTTTACTGCAGCATTTTGGAGAAATGTCACATTATTCGACTTCAGAGGCCCATAAAGGCCTCATTTCTAATAAGTAGAAAAAACTAATGGTCAGTTCTTGTAGGGGACGTCCCATACAGTATACACACCTCATATCAAACCATTTTACTGTAGCATTTTGGAGAAATGTCACATTATTCGACTTCAGAGGCTCATAAATACGTCATTTCTAATAAGTAGAAAAAAATAATGGTCAGTTCTTATAGGGGACGTCCCATACAGTATGCCCACCTCATATCAAACCATTTTAGCGTAGCATTTTGGAGAAATGTCACATTATTCGACTTCAGAGGCCCATAAATACGTCATTTCTAATAAGTAGAAAAAACTAATGGTCAGTTCTTCTAGGGGACGTCCCATACAGTATGCCCACCTCATATCAAACCATTTTACTGTAGCATTTTGGAGAAATGTCACATTATTCCACTTCAGGGGCCCATAAATATGTCATTTCCAATAAGTAGAAAAAACTGATGGTCAGTTCTTGTAGGGGACGTCCCATACAGTATACACACCTCATATCAAACCATTTTACTGTAGCATTTGGGAGAAATGTCACATTATTCGACTTCAGAGGCCCATAAAGGCCTCATTTCTAATAAGTAGAAAAAACTAATGGTCAGTTCTTATACGGGACGTACCATACAGTATGCCCACCTCATATCAAACCATTTTACTGTAGCATTTTGGAGAAATGTCACATTAATCGACTTCAGAGGCCCATAAAGGCCTCATTTCTAATAAGTAGAAAATAACAAAGGTCAGTTCTTATAGGGGACGTCCCATACAGTATACACACCTCATATCAAACAATTTTACTGTAGCATTTTGGAGAAATGCCACATTATTCGACTTCAGAGGGTAATTTCTAATAAGTAGAAAAAACTAATGGTCAGTTCTTATAGGGGACGTCCCATACAGTATACACCCCTCATATCAAACCATTTTACTGCAGCATTTTGGAGTTATGTCACATTATTCGACTTCAGAGGCCCATAAATACCTCATTTGTAATAAGTACAAAATAAGAAAGGTCAGTTCTTGTAGGGGACGTCCAATACAGTATAAGCACCTCATATAAAACCATTTTACTGTAGCATTTTGGAGAAATGTCACATTATTCGACTTCAGAGGCCCATAAAGGCCTCATTTCTTATAAGTAGAAAATAACAAACTTCAGTTCTTGTAGGGGACGTCCCATACAGTGTACACACCTCATATCAAACCATTTTACTGTAGCATTTTGGAAAATGTCACATTATTCGACTTCAGTGGCTCATAAATACGTAATTTCTAATAAGTAGAAAAAACTAATGGTCAGTTCTTATAGGGGACGTCCCATACAGTATACACACCTCATATCAAACCATTTTACTGTAGCATTTTGGAGAAATGTCACATTTTTCGACTTCAGAGGCCCATAAATATGTAATTTTTAATAAGTAGAAAAAACTAAAGGTCAATTATTGTAGGGGACGTCCCATACAGTATACACACCTCATATCAAACCATTTTACTGTAGCATTTTGGAGAAATGTCACATTATTCGACTTCAGAGGCCCATAAAGGCCTCATTTCTTATAAGTAGAAAATAACAAACTTCAGTTCTTGTAGGGGACGTCCCATACAGTGTACACACCTCATATCAAACCATTTTACTGTAGCATTTTGGAAAATGTCACATTATTCGACTTCAGTGGCTCATAAATACGTCATTTCTAATAAGTAGAAAAAACTAATGGTCAGTTCTTATAGGGGACGTCCCATACAGTATACACACCTCATATCAAACCATTTTACTGTAGCATTTTGGAAAATGTCACATTATTCGACTTCAGTGGCTCATAAATACGTCATTTCTAATAAGTAGAAAAAACTAATGGTCAGTTCTTATAGGGGACGTCCCATACAGTATACAGACCTCATATCAAACCATTTTACTGCAGCATTTTGTAGAAATGTCACATTATTCGACTTCAGAGGCCCATAAAGACCTTATTTCTAATAAGTAGAAAAAAATAATGGCCAGTTCTTATACGGGACGTCCCATAAAAATATACACACCTCATATCAAACCATTTTACTGCAGCATTTTGGAGTTATGTCACATTATTCGACTTCAGAGGCCCATAAATACCTCATTTGTAATAAGTACAAAATAAGAAAGGTCAGTTCTTGTAAAGGACGTCCCATACAGTATAAGCACCTCATATAAAACCATTTTACTGTAGCATTTTGGAGAAATGTCACATTATTCGACTTCAGAGGCCCATAAAGGCCTCATTTCTTATAAGTAGAAAATAACAAACTTCAGTTCTTGTAGGGGACGTCCCATACAGTGTACACACCTCATATCAAACCATTTTACTGCAGCATTTCGGAGAAATGGTCCACGCTGGAGTCGAGGGTGGTAAGAGCACAGGAGCCAGGGTGACGTGTAAAGGTGGAGCGGAGGCGGAGCACTCAGAGGCTGGAGGTCTTAGCTGGGAACTGGGTTGTGAGTGGGACTGGCGTTGTTGTCCACAGTTCCAATGGTGAGTGGCAATCCACAAGACACCAGCACCCACTCCACGAATTCTGAATTTTTACTTATTGATGTTTTATTAACAAGGTTCGGGAGGAACACGTTCTAATGATCAAACAATCAAGTCATTCCAGCCAGCTGTCAGCAATCAGTAATCAACAGGTCCACTCAATCAGCACGAGTAAAGCCTATAAATATACTCAGTCGACTCACCCATATTCCTCGACAGTTTTCAGCATCCCTCCACCAGCCCATCTCCTCACACTTGCCTAGTTATCTTCCTAAACAGAGATACGGGGGGGGGGGAGTACTCTGGGTTCGGGCCCAATTTCTGAGCTCGGAGCCCTCCCCCCGGACAGCACGCCAAAATACGCATAACCATCTATTCTCTGATCATTTGTAAGTGTGAACTCGTGAATTTGAAATGAGGTCTTTATACACCCCTGAAGTCAATTAATGTGACATATCTCCAAAATGCTCTAGTAAAATGGCTTGATATGAGGTGTGTATACTGTATGGGACGTCCCATATAAAAATTGACCATTGCTTTTTTCTACTTATTAGAAAATAGATGTTTATAGGACTCTGAAGTAGTAAAATGTGACATAACTCCAAAATGCTGCAGCAAAATGGTTTAATATAAGGTGTGCATACTGTATGGGACATCCCCTATAAGAACTGGCCTTTAGTTTTTTTCTACTTAATTAGATGTTTATAGGACTCTGAAGTAGTAAAATGAGACATATCTCCAAAATGCTGCAGTAAAATGGTTTGATATGAGGTGCTTATACTGTATGTGTCAGATGCTGCAAGAGATAGGACCCAGATGCAAAAGAGCAGACAAGGGGTTTTATTGACAAGACTATAGACGGGGCACAACAAGGAGAATGAGGTGAGAAACAGTTCAGGCTGACGACGCGAAGACAGGGGAGGAGGAAGACCACTGAAACCAGTCCTGGGAGACACGGGCTTGAGGGCAGCAGAAGAGAAGGCGGCACCAGGTGGAGCGATGGTGAGGAAGACCAGGCAGGAACACTAGGAACCAGAGGCTTGTAGATCTGTTAGCTGAAACACCAGTCAAACTGCCATGTAGTGAATGTCAGTGGTCTGGAAGGCTCAGAATGCAGGGCAGGGACAAACACAAGACTCACAAGTCACAGTGAACAAGACAAGACACAACAAGATAACAGAGTAATACAAGAAAGTAATTAAACAGGAAATATTACATAAAGACTGAAGCAAAACAATGACTAGTGAAGCCAAACAAAAGAACTAGGAATAAAATGACTGAAACCAGCAATAAAAAAAAGGTAAAACAAACTGACAGGGAACTAGACACGATAATCTAGAATACAAATAAAATCAAAAGAGAAAAAACAAGAGACTAATACTAACTAGAACAAGACAAGGAAAAAGGCAAAATGATACACTATCTAGAAAGGTCAATATTACAACAAGTACTAGGATTAACCATACACACAGGCATAACCCACAAAGCACACAAGACGAACCAGCAAAGACATGAGGGAAAGAGGCACAATATAAAGGGACCAGAAAACATGAGGATCAGGTGAGCACAATTAGTGAAACGAGGACAAGACGTGGACTAAAAAAAGGGGCGTGGTAACAGGAAACAAGGAGGCGGGACATGAGGAGCACATGGCAAACACAGACCAAGACAGAGCCATGTGCTCAAACACAAAAGAAACACAGAAACATGAAACCACAACAAAACAGACAAGGCTGCCAGGGCAGAACCCTGACAGCATGTGACGTCACCTACAAGAACTGACCATTAGTTTTTTCTACTTATTAGAAATGAGGCCTTTATGGGCCTCTGAAGTCAAATAATGTGACATTTCTCCAAAATGCTACAGTAAACTGGTTTGATATGAGGTGCATATACTGCATGGGTCGTCCCCTATGAGAACTGACCATTAGTTTTTTCTACTTATTAGAAATGAGGTATTTATGGGCCTCTGAAGTCGAATAATGTGACATTTCTCCAAAATGCTACTGTAAAATGATTTGATATGAGGTGTGTATTAGGGATGGCCCGATACCATTTTTTTTTTCAAACCGATACGAGTACGAGTATTTACATTTGTGTACTTGCCGATACCGAGTACCGATACCGATATTTCTACCGCAAAAGTAATAGGCTCCCAGAAAAGAAGACGACTATTTTAGAACACAGGTTAGAAGACTGTTTTTATTTTCTTCTCTGTTTGTTTTAACAAGTCTAAAAATAAATAAAAATTAGTAAAATAATAAATGTATTAACACACAAACCACTGTTAATTTAACATAAAAGCAAGCAGGCTACTGCGTGCATGGTCTGGCATGACTGAATGCGCGCAAAGTGCGCTCCCTTAATAAATCCTAAAAGCTGACAGTTCATCGCGATCTCACACATCTCTGTTATTATCAATGAAGCTGACTGCACAATCAATCTTTCATATTATCCACGCTTTGTTTGTTATAATTAGAGGATTTGCCAGCATACAGAATTCAGCACTGAACAAAAAAGTCCGTTTTGAGCGGTGAGGGGAGTCTATCTTAAATGCTTCTGATTGGCCATTGCGTCCCAGAAATCAACACATATGTCTGTGATTGGCTACATCGCTCAACGCTGTAACCATGTTATGAATCGAAACTCTGTCCTGTAAATCGTTTCTATTTTGTTGTAGTTGTTCTTGTTGCTTTTCTGCAAGAGATGAATAAAAATATTTTCGTTTTTATGTTTTATTCATAGATATTTCTAGTTTGCGGGAGTCCCGCGAATCGTTTTATTCTCCCGCACCCGCACACACAGAGTGAGTGCATTACCGCCCGCGCGCGCGCTCGGCCATCAGATCTATGATGCGTCTTCAGATGTTTAACTAGATTGCTGGTGTTAAACGATGTACTTTCTTTCCCTCCTCTAGACACCTTAGCTGAACATAACTCACAGTCTGCCTTGCTGTTGTCATCATCCTTTATCTTGAAATGAGCCCAAACCGCCGACATTATACTTTCCTATGCCTCAGTTCACCTCGACAAAGCACTCGCGGCGGCCAGTTTCGTTTTGCAAAATGTACGTGGTATCGGTGCGTGGTATCGGCGAATTTTTATGAGTACGAGTACGAGTATATTAGGACAGTATCGGCCCGATCCCCGATGCCAGTATCGGTATCGGGCCATCCCTAGTGTGTATACTGTATGGGACGTCCCCTACAAGAACTGACCATTAGTTTTTTATACTTATTAGAAATGACGTATTTATAGGCCTCTGAAGTCGAATAATGTGACATTTCTCCAAAATGCTACAGTAAAATGGTTTGATATGAGGTGTGTATACTGTATGGGACGTCCCCTACAAGAACTGACCATTAGTTTTTTCCACTTATTAGAAATGACATATTTATGGGCCCCTGAAGTGGAATAATGTGACATTTCTCCAAAATGCTACAGTAAAATGGTTTGATATGAGGTGGGCATACTGTATGGGACGTCCCCTACAATAACTGACCATTATTTTTTTCTACTTATTAGAAATGACGTATTTAAGAGCCTCTGAAGTCGAATAATGTGACATTTCTCCAAAATGCTAAAGTAAAATGGTTTGATATGAGGTGTGTATACTGTATGGGACGTCCCCTATAAGAACTGACCTTTTTTATTTTCTACTTATTAGAAATGAGGCCTTTATGGGCCTCTGAAGTCGAATAATATGACATTTCTCCAAAATTCTACAGTAAAATGGTTTGATATGAGGTGGGCATACTGCATGGGACGTCCCTTACAAGAACTGACCATTAGTTTGTTCTACTTATTAGAAATGTCGTATTTATGGGCCCCTGAAGTCGAAATAATGTGACATTTCTCCAAAATGCTACAGTAAAATGATTTGATATGAGGTGTGTATACTGTATGGGACGTCCCCTATAAGACCTGACCTTTAGTTTTTTCTACTTATTAGAACTGACATATTTATGGGCCTCTAAAGTCGAAAAAGGTGACATTTCTCCAAAATGCTACAGTAAAATGGTTTGATATGAGGGGTGTATACTGTATGGGACGTCCCCTATAAGAACTGACCATTAGTTTTTTCTACTTATTAGAAATGACATATTTATGGGCCCCTGAAGTCGAATAAAGTGACATTTCTCCAAAATGCTACAGTAAAATGGTTTGATATGAGGTGGGCATACTGTATGGGACGTCCCGTATAAGAACTGGCCTTTCGTTTTTTCTACTTATTAGAAATGACGTATTTATAGGCCTCTGAAGTCGAATAATGTGACATTTCTCCAAAATGCTACAGTAAAATGGTTTGATATGAGGTGTGTATACTGTATGGGACGTCCCCTACAAGAACTGACCATTAGTTTTTTCCACTTATTAGAAATGACATTTATGGGCCCCTGAAGTGGAATAATGTGACATTTCTCCAAAATGCTACAGTAAAATGGTTTGATATGAGGTGTGTATACTGTATGGGACGTCCCCTATAAGAACTGACCTTTGTTATTTTCTACTTATTAGAAATGAGGCCTTAATGGGCCTCTGAAGTCGAATAATATGACATTTCTCCAAAATGCTACAGTAAAATGGTTTGATATGAGGTGGGCATACTGCATGGGACGTCCCCTACAAGAACTGACCATTAGTTTGTTCTACTTATTAGAAATGTAGTATTTAAGAGCCTCTGAAGTCGAATAATGTGACATTTCTCCAAAATGCTACAGTAAAATGGTTTGATATGAGGTGTGTATACTGTATGGGACGTCCCCTATAAGAACTGACCTTTGTTATTTTCTACTTATTAGAAATGAGGCCTTTATGGGCCTCTGAAGTCGAATAATATGACATTTCTCCAAAATGCTACAGTAAAATGGTTTGATATGAGGTGGGCATACTGCATGGGACGTCCCCTACAAGAACTGACCATTAGTTTGTTCTACTTATTAGAAATGTCGTATTTATGGGCCCCTGAAGTCGAAATAATGTGACATTTCTCCAAAATGCTACA